GCTTTGCATCGTCGTGTCGCACTTCCTTTCTCTACCTCTCCCCGTCTAGATAGTCACTCTGAAGCGTCGACGCACTCTCTCCTCCCGCCTCTCATTTACCTCGAGTGTCCGTCTCTATTTCACTCCACATCCACCTCTGGGCTTTCAAACAGAAGTCTTCTTTTCCTGTTTCTGTCACCTCCTCATGCACTAACCTCTGCAGTCTCTTCCCTGTGGCAGAGCGGCTTCTTTGTAAGGCGGTTAGTCAGATCTTTCTTTTCTCATTTAAGGGATCTGATTGAAAGAATATTTCAATAAAAACAAGGAAAGAACTTTCTTAACACTTTGCATGTGGTCACCTCTTACGGTTAAATGTGACAAGTTGAGTCGGGGAAATCCATCTCGTGAGATGAAATGATTAAAGCAAAATCGAGTCACCTCCCGAAATTCAAAATCAAAACTAAAAACATCTCCCTGCTGTCAGACAGAACATTCTGGTCTGCTGAGTGAACTGCCAGTGGAGAAACGTACGCTCCTTCTTCTCTGCATGATTGTTAAATGTTGCTCACACATTTTGATCCCGAGGCCCTGATGTAAAATCATTCACAGTTGATTTTAATTGAATTCTTATCTTATTTTTTAGATTAGTTCTCCAAATGTCTCTGATTATCTAGATCTGAAATTATAAATGGATTATTATTGACCACGAGTTCTCCAGAGTTATGTCTCATGTTTGACTCCTTCCACTATCAGTGATCTTTACTTTTATCGCTTTTATCTCCAATACCTGTGTTGGGATCTGATTACCTGCTGTGTCATTGCTGGCTGCTGAATTTCTACCAGCCAATGAAACAATTGCACAACCGTATTGTTTCCGTTGCCAGAGACCCAGCACCAAGTTGCATCTCTACCGGCTTAATTCACTCAGTGACAGAGAGAGAAGAAGAGTGGCATTCATTCATGAGAAACTGTTGTGGATTGTATCTTTTATAAACAGGAAAAGCAACCCCCCCCCCCCTAAAACTGAAGATGAGAAGCGTTTCCGTTGGCAGTACTTGACTGATTTATTTGGCCTTTAACCGACTTTCATGTGGAGCCCGCCTCTCTAATTCTGAGATCTGATCCATCCGACGCATCTTCACCTGGATGTTTGGCAGCTTGTTCCCCTTAAGAGACGGTTGATAGAGATGTATTTGGGCCGTCATCTCCGCGCCGCTTGGGGATTTGTCAGCTAAGCCAGTCGGCTAAGCTCACTTTCACTCTCTCTTGGCTGAGCTTCACTTGTCTGGCAGCATGTAATGTTTTTTTTTTTTTATCATTGCCTACATGTTTTGAATAAGATTCAGTTCTCTGCAGGCAACAATTGGCAGAACATAAGACCTTTTCCCCCTGCTTTGGATTTCAGAGAACGAAATCTGTCAGGACATTGATTTTTATCACAGTGACTGGGGTTTTTTCTTTTGGTGGGGGGGGGGTGAATGGTTGAAAGGGGAGACAACTTAAAGGTTTTCGCAAAGTGCAGCCGGAAGGGAGCGGTCAGTTCATTTCCAGCAGATGACACGGCTTGATAATAAAGCCCCAGTTAGCACTCTGTGTTTGTTGACAGAAATGGTTCAGCCACTCTAATTGAGCTGCAGCCACCTCACCTCCCTGTGATCCCTCGAGCATAATGTTGCCGTATTTCCCAGAAAGTGCTCTGTAAACTGTGATGTCGCAACAGGATCCAGATCTTGTTCTGTTCAGAGCCGCTCATTAGCTGTGGTGAGCAATGCGTAAAGCTACTGTTGATGCTAACTCTCCCTTGCATGTGTGCACATACAAAAGAAATGTGAATTTATTTTTGTTATTTTTGCATTTCTCTTACTTATACAGGAATGTAAATAACAGTGAGGACAACACAGCTGATTATATAATGCATTCACAGTGTGTAGGATGTATATTGACAATGACATGATATCTACATATGAAAATAAATGCCCATAAACAAAACTAGAGGCATCAGAGTAATGAGCATATAGTTCATCATCAGCATTTTGTTGTGGTAGGCCTTCACCGTCAAGTTCGACATATTGACAAAACACGAATACATTTGCTAACTTGACCAAATGTTAGTAACATCGTATGGATGAAATAGACTTTGGGCGAACGTGGCTCAGTGCTGGAGCGGGTCGTCCTTCCCCTGCGGTGTATGAATGGGGGTGAATGTTAGTTAGTTAGCACCTTGCGTGGTAGCCGCTGTATGAATAGGTGCGAGTGGGTGAATAACATGTAGTGTTAAAAGCAAGTCCATTTACCATAACTACAGTTTGGGCCAATCAGTTGTGATATACCGTTGCACCCACAGTCCTGTGCATTAAGGGGTTATTTGTGACATCACGGGTGTGCTCCCTTCGTGTTTTACCTTCCACTAAAGGAGCACGGCGTTCGAATGATGGGATTTTCTACATTCGTACTTCTTTGCTTCATAAATTGTTATTAAATCATATTAAAATCCTGCCATCCCATCGTCATTGTCATTATATTGTTTGAAACCTGTTCCTGCACTGTTGACATCTCACATTCACAACTTGTTTTTCTGAAACTAATAGCGGGCATTTTCTAACACGTTGTGAATATTTCAAGTGATTGTGAGTAGGACAAACCATAGCTGACGCACGCACTTCAGCATCTCTGGTTGTATGAGTCACTGCAGATAGCTGGGTCTGGTATTTTGACAGGGTCGACAAAAGACGGCATCTATACCTACATCTAGACCTCAGCCAGTCTGGCTCCCACAGAAAAGGCCAAAACTAATCCGACAGAGATGTCTCTGATGCATCACTGTACGGATGAGACCCCGGATTTCCTGCACGTACAAAACCAACATGCACAGACAAACATTCAGGGACACATTTTGACGGATGCCATTTGCTCTCTGTTGGTTGTCCAATGTCTCGCTGTGATAAAATACCCCAAATATACCTCCAGGACATTAATAAGGCACTAAGTGGTCCCAATTAGGAAGCTATTCTGCCTGAGGTTTCTGGTTTCTTCTCTCAACTAAGATATTTCATGTTTAACTGCAACACCAGCAACTCATTAACCTGCAGAAAAGGAGCTTCAGTCTTCATAGTGATGAGGCAACTGTACAAGCTCCCAATGAAAGGTTTTCGGGTAGAGCAGTGACACGCAAGGATAATTAAGGCTATTTTTTTTTTTCAACAGTTAGGATCTAGAAATCTTGTTCTGCAATGGGGAGCCTCGTTTTTGTGAGGAAGCGTGGCAGGGTGGCAGGCAGTGATCAACTTTGGCCGAAGCAACGATCTGTTGATGAGAGAACCAAGAACTGGGGTTGATGTACTGCAGAGTTGGTGACGAGATGGAGAGCAGGTGTGCAGGCTGTACAGCAATCAGGGAGCTGGCATAGTGAGAGGGGGCGCCAAGCCCACGTCTCACACACACACACACACACACACACACACAGACACAGACAACTTGCTCGATTGGACAAATGGAAATTTGCCGTGAATTGCCATGTTTTAGCCTCATCGCTCTCAAACTCGCGGCAAACTAAATGAAGCCAACATCATGATAATGCCGCCCAACTAGACTCCTGTTTGTAGAATAATTGAAATGCTCACTTGGCCTTAAACGCTGCCATTTTCCTGCGAGTGCCCGATCAGTAGTGCAAAGTATGCAACTTTCAACAGGGCTGAGAAGGAAGCCAGATGGCTCAAGTTTATTATATTCACAGAGCACATTTAAAAACGAACCAATACAATATATAAGAAGGCTCACTGCTTTGCTACTTCCATCATCAGCGCCTGAAAAACAAACAAAACAGTGTTTTATTCTTTTTTTTACCAATTGATTCACTTGTCCAAAGTGGCCTTTTAATTGCCCACGGCAAGCAGGCCAGCCAAGCCCTGAACTAGAGAGACGTGGCCGTGACATGACCGATTGTTTAAATATTGAAAAAAATGAACTCTGACTTGGAAGCACAACAGGGGGCGTGAACCCTGGGGTCTGATGTGGAAGCAATGCGCTTCAGAAAACAACATTTCAACTCCTCCTGTTGTGAAACAACATACTGCCAGCGAACATGTCCCAGGCAAGACTGGGGTTTATTATAAAATGTATTAACAAATATACAAACAACCAGATGCAAATAGATCCCTGTCCTTTATAGATCATTTATGAAAGTTCTATTACCTGTGCATTAATTCATGTGTTTTTTTCGCTAAATGAAACAAAAACCACCCTTATCTTGTTTCAGCATCCGTCTCGTTTAGACTCAACACGACATTTTCCAGCTTCTTTGTTACAGTCCCGTCACCATATTGTCATCTGCAGTGCTTTATCTCTCCAGAAGTGTTCTTTTCTCATCATAAATTGGATCCGTTGGGGAGCTTAACACCTGCAATGTTCTCTCCCCTGCAGGTTATCACGTCTTATCTCTTGTGCTGGTGATTTTGCTCCCAAACGTATTCCGTCCTATATTCCTGCTCTGCAGGATATTGTGTATCTCTTGGCTGAGGCTGCACAGAGCCTCTCCCCTCCAGGACAACTCTATTATTGTCTCAAACTTAGTTCCGCTTTCACACAGGATATTTTTGTTGTGATAGTATTACCTCCTCTGTCTCACTGTTGTCACTTGAGTTCTTTTTTTAATTTTTTAATTTTTTACTTTGAATTTCAAGTTTACTTTCAATGTGTGTCTCTGAACTTCCTGCTTCAAAGTCCCATAGAAACAATAGAGGAAGTCTGGAAGCCAGTTAATTTGATTTAAATAGCACTTCCCCCGTGATCACAACTTTCTTTACCCTCCTTTTTGAGCCAGAGTTCGGTCTCATGCCTTCGGATTAAAACAAACTTAAAACGGTGTTTATTTTTGTCACATTGAAACCCCAGAGAAACGGGCTGAGTGCCTGTTTGGCGTCTTAAGACACATTTAGAAACGCTGCCAGGCTCAGATTTTGTTTTGCATCATATCGACTTTTTTATTTATTTTTATTTCTGACCTATTTCATTCTGTCTTTCAGAATATTCTATGTATCGCACGACTCACAGGATCTGAAGATATTCAGCTACATCGCCAGAGACGGACAGAGTAACGTCTTCCGCTGCAATGTCTTCAAGTCCAAGAAGAAGGTAAGAAAGACAGCGGGCCCGTTACTGAGCTCTCCCTCTGAAGCCATGAAATCCCTCTGAACGGAGACGAACAGCTTGAGTTATCACGTTAGAGATCGGATGTGGCCTGACCCTGTGATTATTGTGTGGTCCTTGAGCAAGGCACTTAATGTCAACCTGCTCGAGGCCAACAGATCAGACTGTGATTGTATACTGGGTGACTTCCCCCCCCCCCCCCCCAAAAAAAAGAGCATCTTTCTCTATCTATCCTGGTTAAAAGCTAAAAAACAAATTGAATAAAAAGATTTGAAACAAACTTCGAACATATTAGGAAATAGGCAGCACGTCCCGGGAGAGGAACTCTAGACATTTCCCCGCTGCTCTTTTGTTCAAGAAAGTTATTGAATTAGAACATCACATTAATGTTAATAACATATTATTATAGAAGATGTATAGCTTTCTTCCAGTGTGAAATGGCGAACCGCGTTAGATTAGCCAAATTTACTGATGCACGGAAGATGAGGAAACCTCGAGCTGTGAGGGAACAAAACCCACTTTGTTTTGATGGCATATTGTATTACCGAAGGAATGTGTGTTTTCGCATGAGTTGCAATAACCACCTCATCAAACGTTGTCTCTTTCTCTCTATAATGGGAAGATGGTAAAAAAAGCCCACCGCTAAGCGTGTCATTTCCAATGTTTTCACAGGCTGTTGGCCTCCTCCTCTCTTAAATCATGTCGCTGTCGGAGTCGCATCCTGACAGCCTCCGATAAAGAGACACACGGCTGCCGAGCAGCAATTGCTCCTCCTGGCACCGCAGAGTTGTTGAGGGTTTGAGGAACAGGTCGGAAACCCACTTGGGGTGGACGCGTCGCTGCAGAGTAGCCAAAAAGTAGAAACGGTGTCCAGCGATGTGACAAAGTTAGTTTGGAAATGTATTCCCGGTTTTCCCCTGTAGCTGCCAATTCATAGGACTTGATAGTTAAGTCCAGGGGTTAGCTGGGTGAAGCACACACTGCCTCATTATCGCTCACAGACAGGCCGACGTTGACATATCATTGAGAACACACACACACACACACACACACACACACACACACACACACACACAACACAACCCTGTACTTCTATGCTTGTGAGGACAATCCTTGACATAATGCATTCCCAAGCCCCTTACCCTAAAGCCTCTTACCCTAACCTTAACCATCACAACTAAATACACAAACCTAAACCTAACATTTACCATAACCCATACTTAAATCTAAACCTGACCTTAAAACCAAGTCTGAACCCTCAAACAGACCTTTGAAGGTCTGTCCAAAGTGGATGACTGGCACAAATGTCCTCACTTTCCAAAAATGTCCTCACTCTTTGGGTCTTAACTCAAATTGATTCTCGCAAAGATAGATGTACAAGTACACACACACACACACACACACAGACTGGTTTCCAGCTTAATGGCCCCATGGCCATACTGTAGTGTCCCCAGAGAATTTTGGCATGCATCACATTTTCATTTTGTCTTCCAAACAGATTGTGTGTGTGTGTGTGTGTGTGTGTGTGAGCATGCAATGTTTTTTACACCATAGTAGGGGAAGGACAGACTATGGGGAAGATAGTTTTTTTTTTTTTTTTTTTAATGGACAGCACCATAATGTTTTAAGCTATAAGTTTCAGACAGATACAGTTTGTTATAGTTCAAAATACAGAGTTTATGATTTTGAACCCAGCTTGAAAATAGCTGCTATGTGACGGTGATTATGGGAAGTTACTGAGACGATATGTCTTGAAGAGATTATTTCTGGGTGGAGACATTATCTCTGCGTGGACGTCTGGTGAATGACAGCAGGCAAAGCACCCTGCACTGTGAAAACACAGATGCTGGTACAGCAAAATAGAGTTAATCATTTATATTTATTTGGCTTGATTATTTTCAGGTATTATTCCTCAAACCACAGAGTAAGGGGGGAAAAGAAACCATCTGTTTTATAAATATGTTTCTTTCTACCTTCAGTAATAGCTGTTCTGCTAACATAGATACTGTGCAGAATACTGTTGGAACCATTTCCTCCCTCAAAAAGCCATTGATTTTGAATTTGTTTTCCAGTCCAGAAAAGTGTAAGTGACCCTTGATCATTGCTGAACCACAACGCTGCAATTTGGCTCTTAATGTTTTGGCAAGCCGTTTTTCTCTGGGCCCTCTGCCGTCTACTCAGTGGTGAGATTGAAGAGGTTTAAACTGTGGTTTGTCAGTCCATAGTACGTTCAGCTGATATTCAATATTCATATTCAATAGTGCTAACCCTAGACTAACCTTTTATGTATATTGTGAAGTTTGAAGAAGAGCTTTGCTAGAGCAACATGCCTGTTGATTCCAGTTTATTACAGGCATTATTGTGCACTTGACACTTTATAGTTTATATCTGCAGGTTTTGATACCAGGCCTACAGTTTGTTTTACCATTGACTTTCAATTGTCTGTCCGGTTGAAACTATTACTGAAAATATTACTTTGTTTTTATATGAAATAACCTATTTGCGAAGATGACTTTCTCCAACCTAAAAGCATAACAGACCGTTCAAAAATAAAGAGTAGTCCATTTAGCCAATAAAGCTTCATGGCAGGATATGCCAACCTTTCAAATTGCAACGTATACAGAAACAACGAAATACACAACGAAAGTGGAGAAAGATGTAGAAGATAAAACAAGACACAAACAATGAAACACTCTCGGCATCATAAAAAAGCAATGGGCTTACACATATCAAAAGTGCAATAAAAATGTCATCTACAGCAGTGTGTGGTTTTCTGTGCGCGGAAGGTTGCGAGCGTACGATGAAGTAGGAGATCAAGCAGACTTTATTTCCTTCTTTATTACCAGAAGTGAAAGAATGGCCTCGCTTTAGATTAGAGTGGCATAAAACGACTTCAGTGGCCAATCAGTTCTAACACGGAGACACTGTGTGTGTGTCTCTCTCTCCCATTCTGACTCATACGCTCTCCCTCTTCCCCCTTCTTCTTCCTCCTATTGACAGTTTAAAGGAGGCTAATGAATGACCTGGCCTCTATTATGTAGAATTGAAGTGAGAGTGATGACAGAGACCAGGGAGTGAATACTGAATGTTGCCTCGGCTGGGAGCTCAGTTTGTTTGTGTGTGTGTGTGATTGTGTGTAAAGCGATTGTATTCTAGTGTGTTTTGTGTGATTAGAAGAGGCAGCTTTAGATGAGAAATAACAATCAGAGCAAAGAGTCAGGGAAGGTTCAGAGTTTCAGTGTTTTCCTCTTATGCCACAATGACATCAACAATTTGGGGTTCTAGTAAAGTCTATCTACCGGATGGATTGCCATGGAGTTTACTCCGGACTTTTATACTGCCCACAGGTACAACAGTCCAATCATCGTCAGCTGTGCCAAATTAAGACGGTGATCATGGCTATACCTGTTAAACATCAGCATGCTAACATTGTCATTGTGGACAAGAGATATAAACATCCAGAACATCTCTTCTTTTAAACCTGATAATGGACTACAGCACATCACTGCTGCTGACTGGCAGCGGTGTTTTTTTTATTATTTATAACATTCCTTATTCCAGTAAGCGACGTTATGCAAATGCACTTAACACCCACATCATTAAAATCATAAAAACAACAAATAGTGGCGAAAAAAAAAGAAGGATTTAGGTCCTTTACCCAGCGGGTTGATGAGATGGAGAGAGAGTTGTGATTGTGTCAAGTGGTTAATTGAGCCCCCTCTCCAACCACATGCTCTCATTCAGTGATGGCTTATGGCTTCTACTTGTTCAGCCTTGGACACAGATGACACATTCTATCTTCGAGGGTGATTGGAAAGCCTAAATAATGATGCACTGCCTCGTGAATGATTTTTTTTACTTACTTCGCTCAAAGGTAATTACATTGGAAAGCACTGAGTGAGCTGCAATATTAACTAGAGCACTCGGGAGAGAGCAGCAATCTACCAGGTGTGTCTGCAACGGCCACTGCTGTATCGTGGGATTGAATGAATACAACCCACAATTGGCTAAACACCCCCCGCCGTCGAGACACTTGTGGGCTGTGAGGCATCGTCAAACATATTTCATTTAATACTCAAAAACAAAATTAAACTCACCAAGCTGTCTGCCGGCGTAGCAGCGGCCGAGTGGCGACGAGGTACAGCAGTGTGTGTGTACCGGTAGCTCTGTTAGCTGTAAGGGGTTTGCAAACTATACAGCACAAAAACCAAAAAAAGTGAGCCAATCGACAACCAGGGATGTGTGCCACCAACAGGCTGCAAAGCGTCGCAAGACACACTTTTTTGTAATACCTTGACAAATACAAAAAACTTTGAGATAATACAAAAAGTAAATGTTTCCGAATATTATTTTTTCTTAAGATACTCTCCCTTACATTGCCAATAGAGTGAAAAAAATGGTGGAATCATGTTTTGAGTGGACAATCCCTTTTCATTCTGTAATGCCGTGATATACAACCTTCACCGCAAACCCCCCCCCCCCCCCCAAAAAATACTGTGGTGTAAACTTGAGGTCATATTGCTCATCGCTAGCAGAGATGTATGCAAGCAATCGCCACACACACACACACAAGACCGATCGCTTATTAAAACCTTTTTCCAAAGTAGTATCGTCCTCTAAAAAATAGTTTTAAGCACAAAAGAGTGGTGGATTTATATCTTAAATTGGCAGTGTTTAAATATAGTTGGCCTCGATAAAGCTCCCGAATTTCACCGAGGATCGTTTCATCATTGGCATTGAGGAGTGCTAATATAAGATGACATATGGCTATTTGCAGACATATGAATGATAAGAACTTGTGCCACTCTTGACACAGCTTGGTTTAGATAATTGGATTTAATAGCCTTTCAGCTTTTTATTGAATATCCATATTTCAGTGAAATGATCCCTCTGTCTAGAACTTTTAGTCTCTCACTCTCTCCGTGTTTTTTTCTTTACCTCTCTGTCAAGGCTGCAGTGCTTTTACATCGGAGGCAGAAATAAAC